TTCGTTGCGCCGCCCTTGGGGGCAAAAAACGGTGAAAGCTAATGTACGAAATCAGAGGGCAGCACACGGTGCGATCGCGCGACCCTGCCCGTGAGCAATCTCCCAACTCATCTCTGATATGAATGGTCTTGCATTTTCACCACCAAAAACGTTCCGTAATACCGTGAGCTACTTATTTTTCACATTTTCGGTCAATTTGCTTTACGTAATAGACCTCCAGATCCAATAAATCCCGGATATACGATGGAGATGTAGTCAGTAAAAGTTACGAAATCGCGAGAGATGATCACTTTTATAATTTTCACTATATTCGAGTTACAGAATCGACCTTCAGCTTCCACTGATCCTCTTTGGTGTAAATGTAATAATATTAATTGTCACACGATTCTGCCTGTGTCGTTTCTTGAAAAGTATCGTAATTAAGTAACGGAATGTGACATTCATGCCGACGTATGTATGCATTTCACCCGTAGCAGCACATATTAACTTTCGTCTGATTTAGTCTGAGCTTAGACAAGGGAAGCTTGGAGGTTAAAAAAAAGTTTAGTACCGCTGCAATTACGTGAAAGTGCCGTTATTTATTAATAAACTATAACCAAGATGAGCCAATTTAGTAATGACAGTACTAGGTACAAAAAGCAATCGTTATATGCCAGCATTGCTTTAGGTATCATTGTAATTTTGGTTTTTCTGAATTTCCCGGCACTGTGCCAGGGACATGATCACAGTCACAATGAACCTGCAAGTTTTAAATACTCGAAAGACGCTAATGAAGTACCACGAAAATCTGCACCTCCAGTGAAAAATCGAAATGAGATCCTAATGCGATCCATGTGTTCCACTCTGCTCATTTCTGCAGCTCCTTTCGTAGTACTTCTTTTTGTTCCATTAGATAATACTAAAGAAAGAGAGCCTCTGTTGAAGATACTTTTGAGCTTCGCCTCAGGTGGTTTACTCGGTGATGCTTTTCTTCATTTAATTCCACATGCATTGACTCCGCATGTAAAGGATAATGATTCCGATAAAAGCACACATTCCCATGGTCATGCTCATAGTCATGGCGAGCACCACGATCATTCGGTCCATAGTCACGATATGTCAGTGGGACTTGGTGTTTTACTTGGCATAATTACATTTTTAACGGTAGAAAAGGCAGTGAGATTATTGAAAGAAGATGGTGCAGATTTGCATTCGCATGGAACTACCAGTGACATTAAGGAACTTCAAAGTAACGCAAAGACATCAGAAAAGAGTGAACCACAAGAGAATGATAAATCCGTATCAACTGACGTTCTCGGAGATATAAAGATCTCGGGTTATTTGAACCTGGTTGCTGACTTTATGCACAATTTTACTGATGGTCTTGCCATAGGAGCAAGTTATTTGGCGGGGGAAAGTATTGGCTACATAACGACAATTACGATCTTATTACATGAAGTACCTCATGAAATAGGTGATTTTGCCATTTTAGTACAAAGTGGTTGTAGTAAAAGAAAGGTAAACTTCTTCATAATATTATGTACTTGAAAGAAGAATTTTGCATCTTATTTGCTTACATTTTATCGTCTTTTATAGGCAATGATGCTCCAACTGGTAACGGCAGTAGGAGCTTTATTAGGAACATATGTTTCTTTTCTAGCTGATGGAATGGGTAAAGAAATTGATTACTGGTCCTATTTTATAAGAATTATTTTTAAAAATAATTTAATGACATTTTACAGGAGATCTTGCAACAACGTGGGTACTTCCTTTCACAGCTGGTGGTTTCATTTACATAGCAACTGTTTCTGTTATTCCTGAACTATTATCTGACACAAAGTTGTGGCAATCAATTAAAGAAATTATCGCTTTGCTTCTTGGAGTATACATGATGGTTCTCATTGCTCAGTTTGAGTAACAAAGATTGATTAAAAACCAAGACTACATTTTTTTTTAATACAAATCAGGTATGGAAAGTCAAGAATGTTACATGATGACCAAATCTCGTGACAGTGAAGATGCACGGAATAATAACTTGTTGGACCTAGAAAAGTTCACAGTATTTATACATATACATTTCATTTATTTTAGATATCTTCACATTTTTTAGAGTGCTTGGGTCTTCTGTGATATTCTGTGCATCATTTGATACTAATTTCTTGAATTTTGTGTTTGCATTTACGAAATGAACTTTTGTTCCTGATGGACAAGCTTTATTTCTTTTTAATGTAGTTATCGTATGATCCCTAGATTATTATTAATAGGCAAATAAACAATGTCCTTGTGACGACACATGATATTTCTCTATCTTATATGATATATATTTTTATATCAAGAGCAGGAAATTCTTGAGTGTTTACAGTTTAAAAATTCAATAGAAGAATAAATGCAAAATAAATATTTAACTTCGCATTATTTTGTGACTGACAATGCTGCGATAATTTTCAATTTACATTTTACATTAATACATCACAGAATTTAAATATCTTAAAATTTAGCTTATGACTACATTTTTTACACTTATACTCCTGGATTTAAGGAATTTGTATTTAATTAGCTATAAATTGTGCGTTGTACTTAACAATTTATAAAAATTTGTACATTTTTATAGTACTGATACTAAATTCATTTATAGAAAACTAAACATCATCGTTATAATCCTCCTCTATACACACACGCGCGCGCGCGCGTACACACGTACACAAACACTTATTAATTTAAGCTATCACGTTCTTCTATCCAGGAGTAATTGAAGAAGAATACCATATTTACATAGTTGATTTTTTTTTTAGAGCACAATGCATTTATCTATGCTGCATTGAAGCAAAATTATTTGAGAATGATACCAATAATATAGTATAGATATACTTTACATTAGAACTGATTAGAGGGATATTAAATTGTTAGTTATTTCTATTTTTATAATCAACGTGTAGGGATCATTGTACGAAATTAATGGTACATCTACAATCAGTACTGTGCAAGTTGTTACGACATACATCTGAGCTGCTGTTCTATCTTTTGTTATCAATTTTTGTAACCTTGAAGACTTTTCATAAAATTGTTGAAATAAATTTTAATAGATGATGTGTAAGTGTATATCGTACTATAATTGTAAACTCTGACTAGATGAGATGTGACTTCTATGAGTTACTGTTACATTGGCATACTTTGTAACACTATTTTTAAAGCCGCTTGCATTAGAAATCTTTGTTAGTGAGTGAAAGTGTTAATGATACTATCAATATCTACAAAAACCTTAAACTATCTACTTAGATAGAATTTTCTTAACTTCGCTAAGACAATTTCTAGCCTCGGCAAGAGACTCTTCATTATTACGAGCTTTTGATATCAGGAATCCTTTTTCACAAGCCTTTTTTGCTGCATCATAAAGACCTTTTATTATATATAGTTTTCCTAAATTAATATGAATCCAACCCAAATCTTCCATCTCCGGTAAGTTTTTTCCTACAATAATGAAGCCAAAAATTGTAAAGGTTACTATGCAAAGTTTAAAGTTCCTTAAAATGAGTCTAAATATATTTACCAATCTCTGCAGCCTCAGTAAAATATTCAAGAGCTTGATCTTCATTGCCTAGCATACTGCTGACAGTTCCTAAGTCATTTAATAGGATTACCGTCTGATCGTGAACTTTACCATTAACTTGTACAGATAATTCATAAGATTGAAGAAAGTTTTTGTACGCTTCTGTGAGTCTCGATTGTGATAAAAGGAAGCGAGCGTACCAGTCCATCGTCATAGCTCGAAGTAACATGACATCTTCATTATTTGTTCCACTGTCAATATGTTCTTGAAGAGTTTTCAAACAGAACTTATATCCATCTTCAGCTTTACTATACACATCGAAAAATTAGTAACAATTTATAAGATAAGAAGTGGAAGAGTAGTAAAACCTAGGTAGAAAGTTACATTTAACAATGTTGGTAACCTTTATATTTATAAATTCTGTATAAAGAATCTATCAATGATGTATAGTTACATTGATATATTTGGCTGCAGCTCGATAACTAATACCGTTACCAGCTTAAGCATTTTGTATCAAGTTATCTTATAAAAACTGATATTGGCGAATTAATATTAACTGCTGATAATAGAATAATAAGAATATTATGTTAATTATGAATTTACCGAACATCTCCTTTATGTTGAAATGATTTGGCCACTTTTAAACTTATGTGAATAATCTTCAAGTCATTCTGTGGTGTGCCAGTAGATATTAGCCTCTGCATAACTGAAACGAAGAGAGGCTCTGCTTTTCCATAATCCCCCATATCAAATGCCAAATTAGCCAGCAGATCGTAAATATAAGTTATAGCATCATAATGTTGAAGAGTCTGAGCTTGCCGCAAAGCGACATGTAACATTTGCTCAGCTTTCTTATATTCTCCTTTCTATAAAGAAAAATAATATTGTCTATTTGTATTCACAAAATCGATCAAACGTTTTAACCTTCGAACATTCATTTGTTACGTATTAATGTTGCAAAAATGTAGCAAACAATAACATTAGCATTTTCTGTTAATTATGTCGAACTTATATGCAGCATAGTAATATGTATTGTGTGATTGCAATTATAATGGTGATTCTCATTGTTGTATTCAGGAAGACCTCATTATGCTATTAATAACATTGACATTGTTTATTATTGAAAATATTTATATGATACGAACCTGAGTTAAGAGAATAGAACGTTTAATTGTCATAATGAGTTCAGACTCATCTTCCTCCGGTTTTTTCTCATTTAGGAGACCAAAGAATCCAAATGCAAGTAAGAGAAATTTATTATTAAAAGGTTGCCGTCCACTTTCTTGACGATTCCTGTCCATCTTTTGAGAGTGTATTAGCGCGTGACTTATATTAGCAGTTCTTGTATATTGAAAACGAAGGCGACAGATACAGACAGCTGGATAAAGTGACCTGTTTAATTTCTCCCATGTAAAATGTATCGAGGACGTGAGGAATCTTGCAAAGTGTATCATTTCAGAGAAAGCTCCTTACGAGATTTTCCACACATACATAAGCTGGAACCACGTGACAACACATTTGTAAAGCGCCAGTATTCGTGAGAACCTATCACTATAAACAATTACTAGGTTGTAAATACCCACAATTAAAAAACTGGAAAATTGAACAAGTATCACCTCTAACCACTACTAACTCTGTCGATAAGGCTGAACTGCTGATCTACTTACCTGTGTTTACCACTGCTGCCAACCAATACTACAGTAGTGTACACTGACGAACATAATTGTCTTCTCTTTATACACTGGCGGTATCATATCCGCAGAGAAAATATTCATGTCTGCCAATGTACTGTACAGTATTATCGTTGCTGTGGAAATTTTTGCGCATGAGTATAGGGGATTTGTACACGTAATAATGTTGCTCTACCCGGAGAACAACTGCCGAATAAAGGTCCATTTACACACGTCCAATTTGGCTCCGGGGTTTATGTATGTGTACATACAGTGTCGCATGCATACATCCGCCTTTTACATTGGCGACACTATATCACTTTATGATGGGAAAACTACTTACAATATATCATCTTATTACATGATATCAGACTACCACGTTTCATTTTCTTATTCCTTAGTTCATCATTTTCAGAATAGAGTTCATTGCTTGTATGAAAATTTGAGCTCCAAGGATAATTCTCGAAAGAAGTGTACAGTGATAAATGTCCTTATTAGGATCAATTAAAATAGGAGTATTAAATATGGTAATTGTCTCAGTACTACTGTATATGTGACTGAAAAATTATGCGAGGAAAGGAAGATATCCATTGGGATTTCATTGGATGCATTAGAAATTCAAGAAAGCTTGATTGTACGTATCGCTATTTAGCCTTCCTGGAATACAATTTTAACTCGATTTTAACTCTGTTAAAAAATAACTTTATTAATGTTTCCTTTAAACAAGTATAGAATTAAATTTATGTTTTCTGGGCAATCGAATCGATTATTGTAGTAATGCACGAGATAATGACGTCGTAATTGTGACATTAAAAATTTGAATATTAAAGAAGTAATGGTATAAAATTTAGTTAGATTGAATTGAAAATTTCATACTATTAAAACGACGACGCTCGAAGAAGCCTCCATAGCTCAGGGGTTAGAGCACTGGTCTTGTAAACCAGGGGTCGAGAGTTCAAATCTCTCTGGGGGCAATTTCTTTTTATTTTCTTTTTTCGCGCATTTCTTAGAACAAAATAATCTTCCCATACTTTTTTGATAACGTCTTTAATTAATTTTAATTAAAATTATTTATTTATGTATTAAACAGTTGGGCTATATAAAATATATCGCCACGTACAGGATTTGCACTGGCAGATAGGGTAGCATACTGTTGTGTAATATTTATATTTCTTAATTTTTTTTAGGCTATTACTAATTTACAGCTACAGATATTTATTATTATTTATCCTTAATTTTTATATCTTCGCCTACAAAACAACAGCATGACAGTGTTTTTAGAAAATAATTGATATTGAGTAATTGAATTAATAGTAGGTTGAGAGTATAATATGAAATTTGTTAGAGATTTATTGTATTCGAATTGAATCGATACTTAAAAAGTAAATTTTATGTTCACGAATACTTAAGCCATTTAGTAAAGTAAATAAAGTAAAGATTGATGTATAACTGAAATAAATTTTTTCCAAATGTCTTATTGAATTGTTCATGAAATATCCAAATTACTTATACAATCATTTTAATAAAAATGAACTACTAAGAACAATTGGTAACTATGTTTAACCGTCGTTCATAAATTGCGGCGAAGTTAAGCCTGCAAATACGATTGGTTCTTTCCGATATACTCTGATGCCATTGGTGGACTGAACTGTCATGGCTTACATTGTACAGGGTTACGTAATATTCAGACAGTGAATAATTTACATTTAATCTTTTAAGACGATCTGAATGTATTAATACGATTCTAGCAAGCTTCGGAAGGTAATTAAAATACATAAACAATTATTCCGTCTAAGAAAAAATCATTCTTTTGTCAAAGCTTCATTGTCGCTCGATGGAATACCGCCTAAGGGACCGGTCGTTAATAAGTGGTTAATAAGAAGCGCATTGTTTAGAGATGCAATTTCCTGTTGATCTCGGAAATTTCTGCAAAACTGTATATTTCTACTTATGTCTTTTCAGTGATTGAAATATTATATTGTGCGGGTACAGGGAACTCATTGAACCAGACAACGTATCGGTTGTATCGCGGAACGGTAGTGGACTTTATAGTGGTGACAAATGTCGAGGATACGCAACCAGGATTGGAACAGTCTAATATACGACTTTGAAAGATTCGTCCATATCTATATGCCTGCATAATACCTGGTAGTATCGCGATCTTTATCTGATTATATTTTTTAATTTATCACTTATATACGTCTTAAAGTAATGCTTATCATTACTAATGGATTCCTTTTTACTTTCACTTGCAGTAACCGTAATGAAATTTGCTAAAAAGATCATCTAAATGAAGAAAGATCATAAAGCAGGTACAATGGGAAGCATAAATGTATTGAATAAACTCGCCTGTACTATCGTCGTGCAGCTCGTGGTACTGCACAATGTCCAAACGATTAGGCTTCACAGTGATGTATCTGTAATCGACGTTGATACTATGTCACGTGTAAGCTGGGTTTTTGGTGATTCTAATGGAGCATCGGCGAGAGTAAAAAGAGGGTTAGGTCATCCACGTAAATCGGAATATCCTATTAGTAATAAGATTTTGATCGATGAACCCGAGTGTCAAGAGGACCTTGGACGGCTCTGTGGAATGATGCATAAAAGTAACGATGACCTCTCCGTTCTTGAATGTATACAGACTTTTAAGGTATGAAATTTTACTTAGGAAGCAAAATATGTGGATGTTTTTTATATTTGATTTATTAATGAGTGTAAAATAAGATAGGACGTTCGTATATTTGCTTAGTTTACTAATAAATACTGTTTTAGGCTAACGAGGTGTCAAGTATTAATGATGAGTGTCAGCATAAAATTTGGACTCATATAGTTAACCTTACAAATGATGAGAATGTGCAAAGGTTAACTAAAAAGACATGTGGCAATAAATTGGACGATCTACGATGCACTCCGAGTCCTGGGAATGAAGTTGGATATTTGTCCTGTTTAATTGACAAGAAAGAAGAGATAAAAGATCCACGATGTCACGATTACATTCAACGCCTTGCTTGGGTTGCCTTTAGTGACTATCGAATCATAACTTATTTTGTGACCGATTGCTTTAATGATATCGATAAGTTTCAATGCGGCAGAATACAGCCAGCAAAATACAAAGACATATCTGAAGGTTTGACGATAGCTTGTTTGCAAAGGCACGTGGAGAAACTTGAACCTCAGTGCAGGAAACGTATTTTGCACGTATCTGAAATTCAAGCAGATAATATTAAATTAGATCGCCAATTGTATATGTCCTGCACACAAGACCATATTAAATTCTGTCCAAACATTCGCCCAGGTAGCGGACAAGTTTATAAGTGCCTCATGCAGCATAAAACAGATCGCTCCATGACCAAGCAGTGTCAAGATCAGTTAGCAAGGCGAGAAAAATTGATAGCTTCCGATTATAAAGTAAGCAAAGGATTGGTTAGGGCCTGCAAAGAAGATATAAAAAACAATCACTGCCGAAGGTCAGTTTCAGAAGATAAAGAAATTAGACTTGCTCAAATATTGCTTTGCCTCGAGGCTGCTGTAAGAAATGGCAGTAAAGTTGCTTTTGATTGTCAAGCTGAGATGTTTGATCATAGGAAAATTTTAATGGAAGATTATAGACTCTCGCCTGAAATTGTTGATGGATGCGCCAACGATATTTCAATGTTTTGTAATGGTCTCGAAGTTGGTGGTAAAACTATTCACTGTCTTATGGAGCATACTCAAACGAGAAAGAAAAAATCAAGGATATCAGCTGTATGCCAAAGAGCTGTAAGTAGATAGGCAGTATGCTCACAACAAGATTATACTTTGAATATGTTTTGATAGATGCAACATATGCTCAATTTACTTTAAATATGTCTATACCGAGAGAATCATTTATGTGTCCATTTCTGAAAAATATTTTGTCGTAGAACGGTATTAGTTTCAAGGTTTATTATTTTTTCTTTTAGTTAGAAGATCTAATCAAGGAGACCGATGCTGGAGAAGACTGGAGAGTAGATCCAGTTCTGCGGGAGGCTTGTCAACCAGTGGTTGATATAGCATGCAAGGATGTGAGTGTCATAAAAGTAGTTGAATGAAAAGCTTGTTTCCTAAATATATCAAATATATTTACTAATTCTTTATTTATGATACAATTTCTTGCTCTAGGTACGTGGTGGTGATGCTAGAGTTATTTCTTGCTTAATGGATAAAATAGGAACAGAGCTAATGACGGAGGCTTGTGAAACTGCTCTTGTCCAAGTACAGTACTTTGTTGCCAGAGATTTTAAGCTTGATCCTCAATTATATCGAGCTTGCAAACTGGATGCAGTGCATTTCTGTCATGCAAAGAGTCTCTGGATAAATGAAGGGAGAGATACAGAACCAGAAAGAGGTCCTTTAGTATTATCTTGCTTGTATAGGTATGCATATCATCCCCAGAAAAATATGACGGTAGGTAATTTACTTATATTATGTCACTTTTTTTCATTTTTAATACTTGCGGTTTCACATCTACTATTAATAACAAACATATTCTAGTTAAAGACTCAGTGTTTGGAAGAAATTAGAAGAGTAATGAGGCAAAGAGCTATTAACGTAGATTTACAACCTGAAGTTGAAGAACTTTGCCTTAATGAATTAGCTACATATTGTTATGATAAAACCGCCAAAGGAGAAGAAATTTTGTGTCTCCAAGATAATCTTGAGAAGTAAGAACCTAGTTTCAATAATTCATGTAGTTATATTTCATTTACTGAATCAAATGTTTGACCTTCAACATTGTTTTATATGGAATTCTTTCTACGTATGCAGATTACACGAAGGATGTAAACTGGCTGTCGGTAATCTGACCGAAGAACAAGCAGAACGCATTGAATTAAATCCTGTTATCACTGCAGCTTGCCAACATGTCATGGATCGTCATTGTGGGGTAGGATGTTATAACTTTTAAATATTGTCTTCATATTTCCCTAGAATCTGAATTACTTTCAGAATTTTTTACTTAATTTATTCATTCAATACTAACAAAGTGTTATACAGAGAATTTTTAAACTATGTATTATTATTTACAATGACAAATAGGAAGTACTCAAGTTTGGTAAGGATGAAGGTGATCTGATGGAATGTCTTATCGAACACAAAAACGATCTTGATGTTCGGTCTGATTATAAGTGTAAAGCAGCAGTCGAACATTTTCAATTAATTACCTTGAAGAGTTACCGTTTCACATATAAATTTAAAGAAGCTTGCAAACCCTACGTAAAAAGATGGTGTCCCAAGTAAGTAATTCACTGGAAGGAAAATATAATTAATTCTTCTTTAACACACCTTTTACTTTAGGCCTGAGACCAAAGCTGACGTAATTGAATGTCTGAGTTCGATTATACAGGACGATATAATCAGAGATACGCAGCACCGAATACCAAAAGATTGCCGACAACAATTGAAGGCACAGTTATATCAGCAGAGAGAAAATATTCAGTTTGATCCTGTTTTACAAAGATCATGTGTAATGGATATCGAAAAATTTTGCTACAACATAGAAGCAGGAAACGCACAGGTAAGGTGTCTGCCATATAACCTCAGAAAGGTATAATTTTTATTTAAAATACAACTTTGTACAGTGACATACTTTTAGGTTCTTGAGTGTTTAACTTCTCATAAACGAATGCTGACTGATACATGCCACAAGCAACTATTTAAACGACGTAAGGAAGAATTTCAAGATAATTCAAGTGACTTTGCTCTACTAAATACGTGCCGTGCCATGGTCCGGTTGTTTTGCCACGATGTGGACCATTCTCAGGCATTGGAGTGCCTGAAGCGATATAAAGACGAACCGACATTCGACGATAAATGTAGAGACATCGTTGTTAAACGAATGATCGAGCAGAACACTGATTATAGATTTAATGCTGCATTACAAAATGCTTGTTCATTAGATTACAATAAGCACTGTAAAGAGGTTAGTTCATTACAGCAGTTTCAATATTTGGCACTTCATGATAATTTGAACTTACACTTTTGGTAGGTTTTAATCAATGAGCCAAAGGACCGAGAACTCGAAGGAAAGGTCATCGAATGTCTTAGGTTGAAATTCCGAGAAGCAAAACTAACAATAAAATGTGAACATCAACTAGCCAACATCCTCCGAGAAGCAGCTTTGAATTATCGTTTAAATGCGCGCTTAGCAGAAATGTGTGCTCGTGAGGTAACTTCTGTGTACAATTTAGGCAGTTAATTAGAGATGTACATACAGTTGGTTTGTCATATTTGGCCAGTTACCTGGAGTATGATATAATTTTTCAATTGTATCATTAGATCGAGACAATATGCCGATCAGAAGAGGTCGATCCTGGTACAGTCGAGGAGTGTCTTAAATCTGAATTTAATATGGGAAATAAGGAAATGAGAGAACAATGTCGATTAGAGGTAGTTGATCTCATTGACGAAGCTAGAGCAGATATCAATGTAGATCCTTTTCTTGAAAGAGCCTGTGCCGTAGACGTCAGTAAATATTGCAGTAGTATACCACAGGGAGCAGGAAGGCGTAAGTCCATTCTATTTACATTTTAAATTGGTAACATAGTTAAGTATACATTTTTTTCTAATCTATCCTATGAAACGGCATGTACATGATAGTATAGAAACAATTTTGTGTTTATAGACATTATGTGCCTGCAAAATGTGATTAAAGATGATAATAAGTCTCTACAACCAGAATGTAAAAAGATGTTAACGATAAGAATGGAAATGTTCAAAAATGCTGCCAAGGTAATTTAAATTCTTTTTATTTAGCGTAGAACGTGAAAACTCAAACTGGTTTAACTTATCTCATCTTTTAGTTAAGAGCTCCAGATACCGTAAACGAGTGGATTTCGATGGTCAATCGATCCTCATCTAAAAGATACTTCATCGTTACAGCATTTACGATGATCGGAATTATCTTCATTATCGGTTTGTTCTGTGGTAGGGTGACCCGACGTACAATGATGATGAAGAAGAAATGATCATCGGCCGTATAGTCTAGGGAGTTACTTTATATTTTTTGTAATCCATAAATGAAACTGCAAAAACAGTGGTCCGATGCCGTTGGAAACAGAATGCCTACAATAATTAGTTAAATCTTGAAAGATCCAAAGTTTTATCGTCTATGATATGTTACCTTTTCTTTTGGGTAAAGCAACTTTGAATGCGTAACGAATAGGTCATCGATACCCGTATTATTAATTGAAATAACAAATACTCACTCTTTGGGAAATACCATGAAATATAATTAAACATTATGCTAGTTTTTCCACACATTTTTTGCAACAATTTTTTACGAGTGTTCTTCAACTCATCAGATACAATTGTGAAATCGAAACATTACCATTTGTATTGTACAGTTCCATTCCACGTATGATAGCGTCCTGAATTTTTGTCTCTAAAGAATACATTTTGAAATAAAAATACCAACATTTGTTAGTATTATGGCTCTCTTTATTCACGCCAATTGTCTCCAATACTGGAACAGCGTTTTTCTGTGTTATTACCATTTCAAATGGAATATTAAAGGTGCTCCCTCGTTATCACCGACAAGAGATAAACTAACGATATTATCTGTCAAATAGTATAGAATTAAATTGTTATGTAATTTGAAATCGTTATCGAGTTACGTAAATTCCTCGGTATAGGAACAACTCTGGTAGAAATGCGGGCACACGTCAGAATTCCTGACAGTTACGTGGGTTAATACGAAGTGTCAGAAAATGGTGAGAAACTGAGATGTCGGTAAACTCGCAGGGTAAAAAGTCCCCTTCAAATCGCCTTAACCTCGAGTCTTGATCCTCCCTCTCCGTTGCGCTCGCGTGGCTTCTCGCGTGCACGTGCACTCGAAGGAGCTCGTGCGCAGTGTGTGTATATACCAACTCATCTCTGGTATATATACGCGCGTACGAGAAACTCCCTGCGCCTCCGCCCGGCGCCCAACGGCCAGGCTTGGCTGCACTCGCGAGTCGCCAGAGGCGCCGCGGTCGCGCGGTCCGCCGGGGGAAAGGGGGCGGTGGCGCGCGCGCGCGTCCCTTCGCACACGTGTGGTGTCTGCGCGCGCGCACCGATCCAGTCGAGCCGAGCATAGCCGAGCGAGCCGCCGAGCCAACTCGAGGGTCGAGTCGCGTGTGACACACGGAGGCGTCGCGGCGCACCGGTGTGTACGCCAGAGCGCACCAGTGTAGGCCCCGGAGAGTCCGTGCATGAGTGTGTGCGCGCGCGCGCCCGTAGCGAGTACTCCGCGCGCATTCACGGAATTCACGCTCGGGCTCGAGACTCTCAACAAATGTTTAAATGGACGCATCGTCCATTATCACCCAAGTGTCGCGGGATGACGAGCTAGGACAGTTCAACAGCGAGAAAGGTAGGTAGCCGATCCCAAGGCACGACGGAATCCGCTCCCTCCGATTTCTTCCAGATGCTCGACGGAATCTGCACCTGTTACGGGAGTATCGTCCGTCGCCCCTCGCCTCGTCCGCTCCCGCCCCGGGGCCACCCACGTCGACGGTCGCCCCGCGTCGCCATCCCCGTCGTTCCTCCCGGACGCCGGCGGCGTCCGCCTCTCCCGAGTCCCGACGCTCCCCGCCCTGGCGAGTCGCCACGCCGAGTTCCTCCTGGACCTGGACGCCCCTCGTAGACCTCCGTCCCCGCGCGCGCCCGTCCCGGCGCCGTTGCGGTACTCCCGTCCCGCGGATTCCTCGCCAACTGGTCGCGCCGGTAGAAATAATAAAGTTTTCTCTTGAAATAGCGCAGCTGCCCCGAGAGAATGAAGCGTCCAACGGACCCGTCGGCGGGAAGAAGCCGCGAGGCCGGGGCCTCCTGCGCTCCCTCCTCTGCTGTCTGGGCAGAGGTCGGGGAAGCAGCTCCAAAAGCTCCAAGGCTAGCTCCCTCCAGGGCGACGGAAGGGGCTCTCCGCCTCCTGGTACGGGATCCCCTCGGTTCCTCCTTCCCCCTGTTCGACACCAGGATATGCATAAGAAGTGCATGGTGATCGATTTGGATGAGACTCTAGTGCACAGTTCGTTCAAGCCGATCAATAATGCGGACTTCGTCGTCCCTGTGGAAATCGATGGAACGGTACACCAAGTGTACGTTTTAAAGAGGCCTTACGTCGACGAGTTCTTGCAGAGGATGGGAGAACTCTATGAGTGTGTACTGTTCACCGCGAGCCTGGCGAAGGTAAGCTATCCGTCGTTTGACTTTGGATACGGTATAGTCGTAATTTGTCGTTTGGTACAGCAAACGTGGTCCTTTGATTTAAATCCTGGAGTTTTTGCATATTCGTTTAATCTGCAAACCTCTGCTATTTCTTGAAATTCGATTCGGTTACTTATGTCCTTGAAAGTTGCCCGAGTTATAGGGTCAATTGTTAAGTAACGACGTAATAACTTGCAAACGGCGAAATAACTTTGTCTTAAAATTATGAAATCTTATTACGAAGGCTGGTTATTTCAATAGCTATAAGTGTATTCCGAAGCATAATAGGGCCGTTAAAGTGTAATTGTAATAATTGCCTACAGTATGCCGACCCTGTAGCGGACCTACTCGACAGGTGGGGCGTCTTCAGAGCGAGATTATTCAGAGAATCCTGTGTGTTTCATCGTGGAATTTACGTCAAGGATCTGAATAAACTAGGCAGAGATCTCCAGCAGATTATTATCGTCGACAATAGTCCAGCCAGCTACATCTTTCACCCAGATAATGCGGTAAGACTTTTATTACTCCTGAGATCATTATTATTATTGAGTTGCACCGCTTAGAAACAGACCTGCTACATCGACGTTTAAAGTACAGAGCGTACGGCAAGAAGTAACGTTATGTTATTTTTTGAAACATGAAATTCTATCCGGTGCCCTTGTATAGTCGTGCATTCGTGGTAAAATTATCTTTTGTACAGGTACCCGTTGCTTCTTGGTTCGACGACATGACGGATTCGGAATTACTGGACTTAATTCCGTTTTTCGAGAAGCTCAGTAACGTGGAGAACATTTACACGGTACTGTGCAACAGCAATCATCCATACAACCAGACACCTTCGGTGGTACAGTATAGCCCCAGTCCCGGATCAGGACCACTTGGAGCATCCTAGCCACGCCGGAACCCTGGCTCCCTGGCCAGTCTTATCGCTCCTCGATGCACCTTAAGAAGGATCCTCATCGGGCTTCCTGGCGTCGCTCGTCTGTTGCGCCATGAACGATCGGCCACTTCCAGCTAAATCGTACGATTTTGCCTGGTGTCGACGACGCATGCACTCGTGGTGCGGCGCAAAGATACGAATAGTGACCGGTGACTGGGAAGGTGTAACTCTCTGTCCAGACGCAGACATGGGACTCGCGTGACTCGGTGTCGGTCACGTTAATCGCCAGACAGTGAACAGTGACCATTCAAGAGAGTTCGCAAAGGAGAGAAGAATCGGCGAAGATTTTCACTTAAACCCTACGCACGGTGCAGCACGGACCGCTTTTTCCTTCGCGGGTCAAACCGGGAAAGGAAGCGAGGTAGGAGTAGTTGGAGAGAAAGGGAGAGAGAGAGAGAGAGATAAACGGAGCGAATCAAGACGAATGAGAGGGAGAGAGAGAGAGCGAAAGAGAGATGGACAATGTGCCTCTAATATTTTCTTGCGTATGGCAGAAGTATGTGCCTCTGCAGTCCTTTAACGGTTTACAACCTAGGTGCTTTCACGGCCAATTCGCAGTCCTGAAATTTAGCGTGTTGTGATCAAAAGTACGTCACTAATTGATCGGGTGATTCGCATTTGACGATACTTCCATGGACTCCGTTCTTCTTAACCGTATTCAATTGTAACTGTGTCAAGAGTGAACTCGGTGTCTCACGTTTCGAACGAAGGGAAAGACGAAATTCCCGATCCTTTGACATTATATATTTTTAACTTTTTCTTTTTCTCCGTAAAATGTATATTTATGTACATGTGAGGTCGGATACCGAACCCTGTGTGTTAACTGTATACATTCAAAGATTGGGCTTGTCCGATCGTTCGGTAGAACTCGTCGCTGACAGTGATTTCTGATTTGTTATTGCTATCGCTTATATATCGAGGGTGAACACCTAGGAGTGCCGGATCGATATCAGCGATCGATAACGCGATCCATGTAACCAATACCGCTTTTTGTTCCCAAGTGCTGAGATTTCAGGACTGGCCTTACTTTGACTATACGAGAGATGCTTGGCGTCCGACTGGATGCTTCGCAACGCAATCGCACTTACAAAGACACGGCGCTTCCTCGGCTGTTGCGTCAATATATGTGCCCATAATTATGAAAGTGGTCTAAGTCAAAATTAAAAAAAAAAAAAAAAGGGTGAGTTTATCAGTTATTTCACGCCATACTATTTCAAAGGAAATTAATTCAATGTAATTTCGAAAGAAAAAATATATGACCTAGACCACTTTCATAATTATGGGCACATATCGGATCATCATTTTTAAGCAATACGACGAATCGAGTGATAGGAAGGTTACAATTTCCCAGCTGCATATCGAAGCTTAGGAGCGTTATTATTCAGAATATATAGGACGCCGGAGGCAGTTTGTACGCCTGTAGGTTTTCGAATGACAATTGATTCGCGACACGAAAGTATGTACGTGCGTTAGGTATGCTTGGGTGTACCGAATGCTTGCGCGATGTATGTATGCGACATGTATGACGTGTGTGTACAAATGTAGGTGTATAGCGAGGATGAGAAGAGGGATGAACCACGGCGAACGTGCGAGTGAACGCGAAGACACGGCAGGAATTATGTTCGAACGTTACAAATCATCGGTCGATCGTGACGCGATTGTCCGATCGATCGGATATATACATATATATATATATATGGTGCACAGACCTGAGTATCTCTTTGAAGTAGCCGTGTAGAAAATTTCCTTCGAAGGAACGTTTGGAATTTATTCTGGATTACTTACGCAATACTCGTCTCGATAGGCACTGCAATTTTGGACGAGAAAACATTTGAACGTGTAGAAAAATTTCCTTCGAAGGAACGTTTGGAATTTATTCTGGATTACTTACGCAATACTCGTTTCGATAGGCACTGCAATTTTGGACGAGAAAACAATTGAACGTGTAGAAAAATTTCTTTTGAAGGAATGTTTGGAATTTATTCTCGATTATTTACGGAATACTCGTTTCGATAGGCACTGCAATTTTGGAGCAGAAAACATTTGAACGTGTCAATTACTTACCGAGCCCTTTAAATTTCTTTAGATAAAGTCTTTGAAGTATAACGCTATAATAGTCCCTTACATCGTTTGAAACACTTTAGGGGAATTATTAATTGATTAAACACGTCGCAGTTCCCGCGAAACGCAAGTATTCGCGTAGACAAATTTCCTTCGAAGGGAATTATTAATTGATTAAACACGTCGTAGATCCCGCGAAACGCAAGTATTCGTGTAGAAAAATTTCCTTCGAAGGGAATCATTAATTGATTAAACGTCACAGTTCCCGCGAAACGCAAGTATTCGTGTAGAAAAATTTCCTTCGAAGGAACGTTTTACTCGTCACGATAGGCACTGCAATTTTGGAGGAGAAAACATTTGAACGTGTCAACTACTTACCGAGCTCTTTGAATTTCTTTAAGTAAAGTCTTTGCAGTATAACGCTATAATAGTCCCTTACATCGTTTGAAATACTTTAGGGGAATTATTAATTGATTAAACACGTCGCAGTTCCCGCGAAACGCAAGTATTCGTCGGTAGCTCGAGGGAATAAATTCCAAACTCATTTTCTATGTACGCTTCGTGAGAGTTATTTCAAGGAGATAATCAGGGGTGATATTGTACAGCGATGAGCGCTCGTCACCTGCTCGTCGGCGAATTCGTTTCTTCCTCGATCGGCGACGTTTCCTTTGAGTCGCATCTAAATACGAGCTCCATAACGTGTCGAATATCGAGAGCCCTATCTCTGGCGTGGCTATCTACTTAAGAACACGGTATGTTTTCACTCGAGAGGATCGTGCCAAAGCATATCACTGTGCCTCGCTTCGAGTGATCGCCCCTACAGCGACGAAATCGACTGCGATTACTTATTTCAAAGTCTTTAAGGTGAAGTGAAACACCTCGAGCAACTTGATCGGCGTCGATAAAGATTTTTCTAAATGCCTACGTTGCCGACGTTCGTTTTTATATCGACAGCTCGGTCGAATTATATTGGGTATTGTACCAAATGGCATACTCCACCTGTCGTTTTCCTACAATAATTATAAAGAAATCGAAATAAAACTCCAGAAATCCTCTGGATTCGTGCTTTCTGGGGCCCTAATTGACTGCAGAGGGACCCCCTGCGCCATCTGTGATTTTCAGGTCAATTAAATTTTCACGCCAAGACCTCGCATCCCCATCGTTTTAGCATAGAAGCGCTTACAACACTTTTTTGACCTTTATCTCGTTCAAATGCGAATTTATCGATTACCAGAGTGTTCTAAATTGTCGTGAAATTGTCCTGACCCTTTCGTTTCTCATATCAGAGCCTTAGATAATTCTATATCGATCGAAATATGAGAGCTCGACGCCGGTCTGGACTGAGTTAAAAAATTTGTTTGAAAAATCCAAATTTTGAATGTGTCAGGACAATTCTTAGACGATCAGGAGTGATGTGTCAGTTTCGGACAGTCTGGTCTAATATCTTTAAAAAAAATTCTTGTATTCGAATCGACTGATTTGAAGGGGGTTTCACTTCACCTTAAAAACTCGAGTCCGGCGGAGAGATCGTTGGGAAGGATTCGAGAACTCGGCGTTTTAATCGGTAGCTCTTAAGGTGCGAATGATAAGTCGTAACTTCATCTGGCCGATAATATCAAGATTAAAATTTTCCCACTGGCGACGAGCACGTTCTTCTTTTATTTTCATTCTGTCTGGATAAAAATCGTATCGATTTGCGCCCGATTAGATTTTCGTTGCGTCGCTGTTTAACGCTTCCTGAGGACGTTTAGAATTTGAAGCGCGTCGCAGGGTCGCAAACGCGCCAAGTCGACGTGAAAGTTTTAACCGAGTCAGGGACAATACCCTGCGTAGGGGATATCCTATCAGCCGAGTTTGTTCTGAGTTTAGCTACGCTGCTTTCTCCGAGGCCGACGAGCGCTCTTACGGATCCGCGGTTACCGCAAAGAATTCAGAAGTCTCCATAGAAGCCCAGAAGGATACGGACGTTCGATGCTCGACAAATAGTACGTTAGCCAACGGATGGCGGCGCTGTAATCATCTCCCCATCTCCCTTAATCTTATGGCGATATATAGCGATTGCATTATTTCTTTATCTTACACGCAATTAGAGTTCTATATCCAGTAAGTTACGTCAGAAACGATGAGAAATTCCCGGTAACTTATCGGTCATTTCTCCAAAGCCGTTTTTATCGAGAAATTATGAGAATTTGAATTTTTCAACGGAGCGAACGAGAGGTTTCGATTAGCTATAGAGAAACATCGTAGAGGGGAATTTCCGTTGTACGTTCTCCGTAGCCAATCAAAACCTCCCATTCGCTTCGTCGCAGAATGAAATATCAGTTCGTTTGAAACAAATCGCATGGAATTTTCCGTGAAGTTGTACATACGTGAATGTTTTTAGCTGGAGGTAAATACCACCCTATAATCAATATTTTCTAATAGTAATTATTACTCTTTAGGTTGAACTTTGAAGTTGATTGAAAGAAAAAAAAGGTTATTTAAACGAAGAAACCTAAAGTATAAATAACAAAATTAACGTTCTCTTAAATTCTCAATGTTCCCGGTAACTTACGGTATGTTTCACAGTTACCTTCTCGAATTTAATGTTACCGAGAATTTTCAAACTCTACACGCAATACTCGCCTTTCTATATGCGTCTCTCTTCCTCCTGTACGTGAGATATCGTTGGCTAACACGTGCCATCTCTTTTTTACCCCGACTTTTGGTTTGTTAGCTAACTTTTAGAGCATCAAGCGCTAACATAGGATCTGGGCTTCTATGGGATTCTGAATTCTTTGGTTACCGCCAACTTGGCGGACCTTCTCGAGGGTCTTTACGCGCATGGCTTTACTCGGTATTTATTTTTATTCCTTGAAGAGTTCTTTCAAAGAACTGACCAGATTCCCGGGCAATTAGTTGGACTTTTAAGCGCCACGTCTTTGGCGGCGCTTTAATTCGGAAGTAAAAGGATCCATTCCGTTCGCGATTAAAAAGTGTGACTTCCACAGTCGAATAGAAATGATTTGACCAAAGAAAGATCCTTGTCAAGAATTTTATATGGCTAGAAGAGTTAAGTAGCAGCTGCTTAATGGAATTTTATTTTTTAAACGTGGCTTATGAGGCCTGGCTTTACAGGGCTTTGTCTTCGCCAGCGTGGCATTTCTTTCCGAATAGTATCGATGATAAATGTGCCCATAATTATGAAAGTGGTCTAAGTCAAAATTAAAAAAAAAAAAAAAGGTGAGTTTATCAGTTATTTCACGCCATATTATTTCAAACGAAATTAATTCAATGTAATTTCGAAAGAGAAAATATATG